CCATTCAGACTTTACCAAGTCAATAGAATATGTGTGTCAAAAAGCCTCCCCATCACAAATCAGATAGGTGAAACCTATTCAATCCACCTATGACCTGTCTCTTATACACATCTAGATGTGTATAAGAGACAGCAACTGCCACGTGTCCAGAGTTCTCTCTCTCTCTCTCTCTCTCTCTCTCTCTCTCCTTCTTCTCTTCTCCTCCTCCTCCTCTTCCTCCTTCGTCATCTTTTCTTTTCTTTTCTTTTTTTTTTTTTCTTTTTTTTTTTTTTCTGTCAACGCAACTCAAAGTCGACAGGTCCTCCTCCTCCTCCTCCTCCTCCTCCTTTCATCATCTTCTTCTTTTTCTTGTACTCCTTCCTTCCTTCTCCTCGAACCCCTCCCCTCAGCGGACTGGCCGCTACAACACAACCTTTTACCCCCTTGTCAAATCCCCCCCCCCCCCCCCCCCCCCCCCCGCCCCCCCCCAACAAGTTTCTCTGCGGATTTGGGCTCCTCTCAGCGAGCGCACTCCCAACCCCATCTTCAAAAATAATAAAATAAAATTCCTGGGATGTTTTTTGGCTCGTCTGGTTTTGCCGGAAGGCCCCCTCCCCGTCCGTCTGGGCTGGACGTCTGCCTAACCCAGTGGAGACATTGATTCAGTGTGGGGGGCACTCCCCACTGGTTCTATGTTCATGCTGACAAATCACAAACATGACCATGCTCATGCTTTCCTAGCATTAACATAGTAGCAATGGGCCTGACCTGTATGGTAGGCTGTTAACCACACACTCCTGTGGTGGATGGTTTCAAAAGGCAAGACTGTACTTGATACAGAGAACTTCAGCATGACCCTTGCACAAGGATGACATGCATAATCTGAGAGGTGGTCCAAATAAAGAAAGGAGAAAAGAAGACTTGTGGCTGGGTCAGCCATAAGAGGTAACGGTGTTTTTTTAATCAGGTTTTGATGCCCGTCTTTGTCAGTCTTGGCATATGCATTTCTGACACATACGACTCTGTCTACAGTTCATCAAATCTCTCTTTTTATTTTATTTTTAAATTGGACCATTTCTCGTTTTATGCGTGTCATCCTTGCGCAGGGGCCATGCTAATCTTCTCTGTATCGTTCCAATCTTCTCTGTATCGTTCCAATTTTAACAGTTCATCAAATCTCTCTGCTTTAGAAAAATTGAAAAAAAAAAAGGGCGACGGCTTTGAGATATCATCATTGAACTGACTGCCTGCAGGGCCCCAGCCAATTCAGAATTGTTCGCTCTGTTTATCTGATTGCATCTGCATTCGAAGTTGGGTCTGTATGTAAACAGTTTGTGGGGGTACCGTCTGAGATAGGCTCATTGCTGTGTTTTTGGGTTGCCCTTCTCCTGTTGCTGTGTTGGAACGTGCAGGTTCTGTCAGTCACAGAAGAGATCCCTTGGGACATTCCCTAATCTGAGACCAGAGCAAATGAGGTGGCTCAACCAGCTACGACGAACTGGAGTTACCCCCTTTACTTTCTGTCATCTTTCCATTCATACGTATGCATCCAGTACCACTTTGATTCAGACTACTAGTTTAAGGTGAGTTAATTTCATGGGAAATTCGTCTTCTGAAGCAGAATTGCAGCGCATATTTCCATTTAGTGTCATCTCTCTCTCTCTCTCTCTCTCTCTCTCTCTCTCTCTCTCTCTCTCTCTCTCTCTCTCTCTCTCTCTCTCTCTCTCTCTCTCTCTC